GAAAAAAAGTTGGGTGGTTTTTTTGTTTTACTCTGCTGATAGCATTGATTAATTTTCTACCTAAGCATAGTGTTAAGAGGCCTCTGGTGGCTTCTTGGAAGGAATTGCACTGGTAACTCAAGAAACGTGGTTTGAATCCACCAGTTGCTCTGCAAGAGAAAGATGGGCACTCAACTCCCAAGGGATTTACTATCTCAGAAAACATGCTGGAAGATCAACTATGGGTTTGTTACAACTCAATGGTACAAAAGAGTAACAAGCCTAGGGGTTTTGTTTGTTTGCTTGCATTTTTTTAAATTATTATACTAGTTTATTTACAAAATTTGAATACAGTATTTTCCAGAACAAGTTTAGTTTTAAGGTTAGAATCATCACCTTGAATTTAACAATTCAATGAAACATTTAAAAGAAGTTGGCATCTTAAGATAATGAGTTTTCTATAGAATTACATTTCTATATTATATCTACTCTTATATCTAATCTCTAATTACTATATTTCATTAAAAATCAGTTATTATACTTTATACAAACAAATATTAGAGAGGAAAACATGAAAGAAACTGTGAAATTGTATTTGCCATTTGATAATATCTGTCATTCTGCTATAGGATGTTGCATGAACAATCATGACAGAGTACATTTTCTGTTAATATGGCAGCATGATTGTATTTTTATGTGTAATAATTGTTTTTTTTAAATATAAAGTGTATATAATCATAATTTTTTTTAATTCTGAGACTACTTTTAGGCCAGCTAAACCCTTAATAAGCAATTCTTCCTAGTTAATATAACTGTTTTCTTATGAGGAAACACATTTCTAAAATTGCTTATGTAAGTAGCAAGCAAAATGCAAGAACTTTACTTTTAGATTAGTATTGTATTATGCTTTACTAGAAAAAGTGGCATCCTAAACACATTTTTTGTGAAATCAATTAATAATCTATTAATTTTGTTTTAAATAATATTTTCACTTACCCTCTCTTCCAAAAAAATGATATCAAGCTTCTTTTAGAAAATTGAATCTCTGCACACCCATGTTTATCGTGACTTTATTCACAATAGCAAGGAGTTGGAAACAACCTAAGTGCTCATCAACAAACAATGGATAGAGAAGCTGTGGAATATTCACACAATGGAATACTAAGCTGCATTGAAAAACTAGGAACTCATGCAACATTATTCAAAATGGGTGACCCTGGAGGACATTATGTTGAGTGAAGTATCTCAATCACAAAAAGACAGATGCTAAATAGTATCACTGTTGTAGAACAGGACTGACATCAGGGTTTTGGGGGAGACTGAGAAAAACTGGATAAATTAGGCATACTGCGTTGAAACAGATGAGGGAGAGAACAGTTTAAAAGCGATATATGATAGGGTATTATGGTTATCACGAGAGTTCAGAATGAAGGTCGCGTAGTTCAATGTACTCAAGGGCGGGTGGATTGTATACCAATGAAGGAATTTTTCTTTAAGTTTTCAAAGAGAAGAGTGAACTGGGGGGGGAGGGGAAGAGAGAAAAGTGCAACAATGAATGAATGAAAATCCAAAATCTCTGTAACTGTTCATTAAAATGAATTTTAAAAAACTACAAAGTGTTAAAAATAAACAAATATACGCAAACAAAAAAAAGAAAATTGAATCTCTGTCAGAGTTTCTCTCAGAGAAAGGGTTACTTACTCACTGCAGAATCATAGGAGGTAGAATTGTGCTCGCCTCTCACGAAAGGGTATGGTGACAGGTAAGCATGTGTGCAGTTCTTGGATGGTGGCTGATTGGCTAAGAAGGACAGCAAAATGTCAGAATGTATGATCAGGAAGCTGAGTTACAGGCTGTTCTAGATAGTAGAACTAGGAGTCACAAGCAAAGTAAAACTGAAAATCAAATTAAGAAACTCAGACTAGTGAGGTTGAGAAAGAAGCCTTATTACATAGTAGGTTAAACACTGAGATGCTAACAAAAGGCCTGCAGCTGAAACCCACCAGATGTTCTGAGAGGGGAAGAGGAGGTAGTGTATTCCTGTTAAGATTTACAATCCCAGAAGCTCTATGGTTCTACTCTGTTCTATAGGGTCACCAAAAGTTAAAATATTCTTAATGATGGTTGGGGTTGGTAGGATGCAGGAAGAATTTCAAAGAACTTATATTGAGAGACATAGAGGGCATGGAAGGTTAATTTATCCTGAGAATCTAGATATATAGTACGATTCATAGGAATGGTCTCAACTTTCTTCCTTATCACTTTGCCAATGAAAACACTTTAGATATTTTTACAGACATACTCTCCAGAATCTAGAATGATGCCTATCACACAGTTGTTGTTGTTGTTGTTGTTGTTAGGTGCTGTTGAGTCAAGTGTGGCTCATAGCAACCCTATGAATAATAACATATCTGAACCCAGTTCTATCCTGCTCTGTGCTCACAATCTCTAACACACGCAAGTCCATTGCTTCATCACTGTGTCAATCCCACTGATTGAAGGTTTTCATCTCTTCCACTGACCCTCCACCTTGTCAAGCAAGATATCCCTCTCCTATCAACATGCCCAAAGTATGTGAGATGAGGCTTTGCCATCTTTGCCTCTAAGGAGCACTCTGGCTGCACCTTCTCCAAGATGTAACTGACTGTTCTTTTGGTAGTCCATGAGATATTCAGTACTTTTCTTCCACATCACAGTTCAAAGTCATCAATTCTTCTTCCTAAGTATCTTCTGTCATCCTTAGCAGTTATTCATCAAATACTTGCTTAACAAATCCAATGAACATAGACTCAATTTTTATTCATTCTAATCAATAGAACATTTCTTCTTGGTTCTATTTTTTGGAAAATATATATATGATTCATTATGCAAGCTGATAACTCAATAACATTTTTTAGCCTTTGGTTAAAGTACAACACAAAATGTTTATGTTTTCTGAAAATACAAGAATTTCATTGTGCATTTTTTAGAGATGAGTCAAATTCCTTCTTCTTAGATGTTGCTTCTTTGCTACTCTAGGCTGAAGGCAAGAGTGAAATATTCTTCTTTCCTCTAAATCCTGGACAAAAATCTTCTATTCCACAGACTGAATCCACTTTACCAAGGTCTAAATAATTTCCGTTGGAGGGTTGCATCTTGAACACAGGGCTATTCTCCTGTCCAATTTATTATATGATGCTCTATAAAAAGAGTTGTCTTAAATATACCATTTGTTCCTTACTTTTATTCCCCTATATAGGACAACTTACTGTCAACTTGGTTAAGTCTTACTAGGCAATCTAAAATCTTTTTTAAAAATTTTTGTTAATATGAACTGTTGTGAAAATACCTTACTTTGGTTTGTTTAAAAGTATTTGATAAAGAGGCTAACAGTTTCAACCTTTAATAACTATTAGGATGATTAATATTGTTTTTAATGTATTAAAATAAAGAATAACTACTTATAATAAATGGATTTTCTTTTTTTTTTCTTATGAGACTGGGTGGTCTTTTTAATCACTTGATATGTGTCTGAGAACTGGACAATGAATAAGGATTACAGAAGAATTGATGCCTTTAAGCTGTGGTATTGGATAAGAACACTGAATATTCCACGGACTGTTAAAAAACCAAACACATATATCTTGGAAAAGTGCAGCTGAATTGCTCCTTGAATGCAAGGGTGGTGATGCTTCATCTCACATATTTTGGGAATGTTGCTAAGGGAGACTATTCCTTAGGAAGGGATATCATGCTAGGAAGGGCTGAGGGTTAGTGAAAGAAAGGAAGACCCTCTATGAGATAGACTGACAGAGTGACTACGTCAATGGGTTCAAGTGTGTCAGAGATGATGAGGATAGCACAGGATAGGACAGAGTTAGACCTGCCTTCCATAGTGTCACCAGGAGTCAAACTCAAGGGCACTGAATAGCAACAATTATAGCAATATTATAACTACTTATAATAAATGGATTTTCAAATATTGATAAAATGTAAGAAAATAATCCAAAACAATACATTCTTTATAAAAAGATTATTCTACTTCAAGAAATAACTTTAAATTATTCATGATAGAAAGGAAACATCAAAAGCAATACATATCTTGATGTTGTCGGCAAACTTGGTTAAAGCTCGAATAAAGCAAGCTTTCATCTCCCAGTGCTAGTAATTAAGCTCCATTATTTTTTAAAAGTTATGACTTTTTTAACTTTGAAACTGAAAAAATACATTTTTATTTAAGTATTTTTAAATTTGAGATTTCAACTGTTTATAGCTAAGAACAAAATATATATTCTCTACAATAATAATACTTGGAAAATGATTACAAATGATATTTGCTCTGTTTCTATGATTCAGTGTATTTAAATTATGAGCATAGGAGATAGGTCCATTTTTCCATAAACATCTAGACTCTTTTATTCTGTAAAATGAAAGGAACCTCTCCATGAACCATTTGAAGACATCTTATTGAGATTCTACAGTTAAGGACCCAATCTTATTTCACAAGTGAAATATACAGAAGACATTGTTCATCTTATTTTATGGACAAGGTGGGAGAAAAGGAAAATTGTACTTACTATACCAGAATTTCCAAATATTGGAGCCATTCTCTTCTACAATTCCATTAAACCAACATCTCCAAAAGAAACCTTCATGGTGGAAAGTCACATTTTCTATCTACAAAGAATAAAATGGAGTGTCCTGCCATCAGCAAAGGAATATAGTCAAAATCACCACAACCAGGCAACATCTAAACAAATATGTTTTATCCCAAAGGATAATGGTCACTCTCTGCAGACCTCTCTTTTTCTTTTTTTTTTTTTTAAGAGATACTACTCACACCTGTACTTTTGTCTGATTTCAAGAGCAGTTTATACAGGAAACTCCTTTGATCACTACAAAACACAACAAGATAGTGAAGAAGAAACTCACATTCTTTTCTCCTGAACATATCCCCACTTCAGTTGCAAGAAGCCAATAATCCGATCCAAAAGCCACCAAAAAAAGTAAAACTCCCAAAGCACCAAATAGAGCCCCAAAGAAGATAGCAATATTTAGTCTCATTTTTCAATCCACTGATTCAATTTCAACAAGAAAAAAAAAAAAGAAAAAAAAGAGGAAAGATTTTCAAGTACGCAGAATCTCCGTCAGGAAGCTCCTCTAGCTCATGTTTCGGTGACTTCTCGCTCATACTCAATGAGAGATTTGTATCCCTCTGCCCTCAGCTGGAGGGGCTCCAGCTCAGCAGCTGAGAATTGCAGGCTATTTTAGGATACTGATTGAGAAGCTGTCTCTCTCCCATGGGGATCAAAAAATAGCTGACCTTCCCCTGACTATAGAGACGACTCTTAAGAGCTGGCTGGAATGGTCATTATTGCTATTTGGTATGTTGTAGAAGCAGAAAGAAGATAAAATGGCTATGAAGTCATTGGAATGACTGACCTCAAATGTGAAGTATCTGCGCAAGTAGTTTTTAGTCGAAATTGATGATTATAAGGTAAACGATCTAATGATATTTAAGATTGTCATGGAAGACCTACAATCACAGCTAAAAAAGAACCACAGGCATGTCTCCTCAAGAACTATATTCAATATAGTTGAGGTCTTAATTAGTATCTTCATTCCTGTTAAATATTTTAATATACAAATTAATCCAAGAGCCAAATGATAAATAATAATGCTGAGTACAAAAAAATATTATTAACTTAGATATTTAGCATATACTTAAAAATCAAGAATGTTCGTGGCAGAAAAAAAAACCTTTAAATTGTGAGAAATGGTTACACTTTTTTAAGCTCCATAAGTACTTATGCAGGATATTTACTTCTAAAGTAAAGACAACACTTTCTTCTATAGATGCCTACAAAACTTGGGAAAACTATTCTAAGAACTAGCCCTTCTATAAGTCATGGCTAAGCGACTCATATATATATGTTGGTAAGTAACTGGTGGTATAGTCTATAGGAAGTTGAGCCGCTAATCAAAATTCAGTATCTCTGCTGGTTTCGTTCTGGTACCAGCCTTTCCAGCTCATTTGTTTTCTTTTCATTTAAGATTATAATAGAAAAATTATGTATTAAGAATATATGCTCAAGTCTTTTATTGTCCCTTTGATCATTTTTTTTATATTCTCAACTATAATCTGGGCTACTTCCCTTTTTAATTAGGTATCTGAACTCTGCTAGCTTTCTTTAGTAGCTTTTTGTTTGTTTGTTTGTTTGACATGAGAGAGCTGCTTAAGATGAACCTGGTGAGATGACTTCTTAGTAACGATGAAGAATTTTGACCATCTTTTACTATAAGCAAATAGAAGTATTCAAAGGTCATGGATGAAATTAAAACAATTTATTTATAGGGTTAAGAGAAATCTGAATTGAGCCTTTCACTGGTACTCAAAAATTTTAACAGATTGCTCATTTATTCAAGCCATAACATTTCCAAGCTGTTGCATTTAAGGACATTAATAATGGCCACACAGCTCTGCCTTACAGCTGCCAAAACCTGCTTCCAACAAGTGTCCAAATGTTAATACTAGCTCTGTCCTCTGAGATTACCCAGCACAAGTTTAAACACTCCGTCATCTGATAGAACTTTCAGATATTTTGAAAACAGCAATCATGTCATGCCTCCTTGAAGCACAAACTCCACCCCATTTGCAGAAATACAGGTCTTCATTTCTCTTCTTATGGCTTAAAACATCTCTTTAGAGTGGCACAGACCCACATCTGCTTCTGCTCTGAAGTAGTAACAGTATGATTTTAATCAAGTCAGAGCTTTGGTTGCCTAGTGGTAAGGAGTTGCACTGCTAACTCAGAGGTAAGTACTTCAAATGTACTAGTTGATCTGCAGAAGAAATATTACCAAGCTCATGTGAGGATAACAAGATAACCTTGAGAAGAATAGGCATTCCAGAAGACTCACATATACTCCTGCAAAATCTGTATACAGAAAAGAAACCATTCAAACAGAACAAGGGAACAATGTATAGTGTAAAATCAAGAAAGATGCATATCAGGGTGGTATGAACTCTCCATACCTATTAAAAATGTATGGTTTTGTTGTGTACCATCGGATCAGAACTGGCCCATAGCTGAACTTTTGGTCGGTTTTCAGAGGCAGTTAATCACCCAGGGGGAGACTGTCCTCCTCCTCCTGCTGAGCAGCTGGTGGGTTTGAACTGTGTACCTTTGGGATTGCAGCACAGCGTCTTGATACTCAGCAAATAATTTGAGAAGCTGGACTATACGGAAATAGCATCAAAATTGGAGGACGATTCATTAACAACTTACATGATGCAGATGATACTACCTTACTTGCCACAAGAAAAGAGGACTTGAAATATTTGCTGCAGAAGATGAAAGACTTTAATAAGGATTACGATTCAGAATCAATAAAACACTGAACCAATAGGCAATACGATGATAGATGGAGAAAAGATTAATGCTATCGACAGTGTTCTTTTACTTTACCCATAATTAACATCCATGGTAACAACAGTCAGGACATCGAAAAGATGTTGTCAAGAACCTCTTCAAAATGCTAAAGATCCATGATGGATGTCAGTTTAAAGCCTAAGGTGTGCCTGATGCAAGTTCTAATGTTTTCAATTGTTTTCTACACATCTGAAATTTAGACAATAAGAACTATAGAAGAATAATTTTCTTCAAATTATAGTGTTGAGAAGAGTACTGAACATTCTATAGACTAAAAAAGAATGTCATGGATGAAGCTCTGGTGGCCCCATGGTACTGAGTTGCACTGCTAACTTGAAGGGATGTTCTGAATTACCTAGTTCAGCTAAATGTATCATGTGTCCTTAAAAATAGATAAACAAATTTCACCAGGTGTTCCTGGGCACTGAGTTGGTAGAGGTGAAGTAGCTATGTCAAAATGATAAGAGTGGCTAGCCTTGAATAGTGAAGAAAGAGACCACAAGTCAAAGAATGTGGAAAAACTCCTGTTAGATGCTGTCTAGTGGGATCTGACACATAGGGTCCCTGTACTGTGCCATCCTCACAGACACTGCTGTGTTTAAGCCACTCTTACAGTCCCTGAATCAGTCCAGTCTCTTATTGAGGGTTTTCTTCTTTTTCACTGATCCTCCAAGCATGACATCTTTTTCCAGGGGATTGGTCTCTCCTTATAATATATCCAGAATATATTAGACTAAATCTTATAATACCTGCTTCCAAGGATCATTCTGGTCATATATCCTACAAAACAGATTTGTTTGTTCTTCTGACAATCCAAGTATACCATGTACATTAAAAATTCTTTGAAGCTTCTAGATGCTAGAAAAGAAAAGAAAACTGATTCTCCCCTAGAGCACCCAGGAAGAAAGCAAGCTCTGTTGACATACTGATGGGAACTCAATGAGAGTTCTGTGGAATTTATGATTTCCAGATAAGGAATTGCTCTGGCAACCCAAAGACACTCAGTTCAAATCCACCAACTGCTCCAGAGAAGGAAATTGGGCAATCTCCATTCATGTGATTTGCTACCTGTGAAACCCCCTGGAGGATCAACCATGAATCAGTTATGACTTTATAGAATATAACATCATAAATGTAAAATATTATTATGTTGTTGTTGTTGTTTAACATTGTAGTCAAAATTAACTGTCTAGGTATTTATTATAGCATCACAATAGAAAAACAATAATGGTAATCTCTGACATAAAAGATATTCAAATTATTAGGAACTATACTTCTCATTTATCCATTGTCACTGAGTTTGAATCAATTTATAAGTGACACGCAAGTGTGCTTTTTGACACTGTAAATTGCACTGAAGGAAATTGTCCATCTTCCTCTTGGAGAGCCACTAGTGCATTCCAACCACCGAGAGACTTGGCCTGCGGTTTAACAGAGCAACTTTCAATGGATTATGAGCTCCCTCATAGTCACCAGAGCTCCCTCAAGAAATCAAGATATTAAGGAGCTGAAAGAACATTTCAAAGGGTAGCACAGGAAGACAAAGTAGAGTATTATAATGAAATGTGTCAGAAAATAAAAGGGGCTGAACTCGCTCAGCATTTCTTTAGCTCAAGGAAGTGAAGAACAAATTCAAGCCTCGAGTTACAATACTTAAGGATGCTTTGGGCAGAATATTAAATGATTCAAGAAGTATTAAAAGAAGATGGAAAGAGTATACAGATTCATTGTACCAAAAGGAATTGGAGGACACAGAAGAATTTAATGAAACAACATATGAGCAAGAGTCTGTGGTGATGAAGGAAGAAGTTCAAGTTGCTCTGAGACTTGTATTTGTTGCCATTCCAAAGGAAGGTGATCTAACAAAGTGTGGAAATTATCAAACAATATCATTAATATTGCATGCACACAAGATTCTGCTGAAGATTATTCAGAAACGACCCAGATAGCACATTAACAGAGAATTGCCAGAAGTACAGGCTGGGTTTAGAAGAGGCCGTGATACTAGGGATATTGTAGCTAATGTTAGATGTATCTTAGCTGAAAGCAGAGAGTACCAGAGGAATGTCTATCTGTGTTTTCATTCACTATGCAAAGACATTTGACTGTATGGATCACAACAAACTGGGGCTAACTCTGAGATGAATGTGAATCCTGGAACACTTTCACTTTTTGTGAAACCTATACTTGGACCCTCTCCAGGAGAGGGTTAAACCAGGCTGCTTCTTGGAGGCAAGGATTCTGAAGCTTTGTCTTTACATACTTTGGACATGTTTCAAGAAGGGACCAGTCCTTGGAGAGAGATGTCATGCTTGGGAGAGTGGAGGGACAGTGCAAGAGAGAAAGACCCTTGATTAGATAGATTGATTCAGTGACTGGGGTAATGGGGGTAGTTGTGTCAGAGACAGTAACATTGACAGAGAGTAGGATTTACGGCTCTTGTACATAGGGTCACTATGAGTTGTGGGTGACTTGACAGCATATAATAACAACAACATGTTATCATTAGCAATATGTAACTTACTGATGTTATCATTCTCCATTGTTCACTTGAATATGTTCAAAGATCAGATACATATAAAGATATTTATAATCACAGTAAAAATATGGAAAAAAGAGATATTAAAGACTAACTTACAAAGAAACTG